TCTGTGGATTTATCTCAACTACTTTACAATTAAATGACTAGAAGTAAAGTTTGCTTTTAAATACATGTTTTTTTCTTCTTTTGCTGTGTCAAAAGATGAATTAACCCCTTTACCGGTTCACCAGGGTAGGACTTGTAATGCACCCTCCCTCTAATTCCTGTACCACCTTTTTTAGAAAACCAATAAGAACTCTGTGACGATCAACAATAGGCTGGTATTCTTAGAAAGGGCTCTATTTTTGTTATTACTGTAAAGATCTGTAACCTACTTTATAACGGCATGCTTGTAAGTCTTTGTCATTTTGTGTTATTTATGAAATTCCTTTACAAAGCACTAGCAAAGTCTGCAGAACTTAATAGCATACATAGAGCATTCTTATCATCAGTTTCTCACTCACAAAAAGGTTTTAAAGTTCAGTGGTCCAAAAGTCAAACACAAAAATATCAGCTTTGCTTCAAGAATTTACAAAGACATTTACTTAATTAAGCAAACAGCAATGTACAAAATTCTATAACCCATACAGGCCAATTATTAAATTAAAATAATGGGAGTGGGGAACTTATCAAAGCCGAAGCAGACAGAATCTGGAGCAGTTGCCCATAGTAAAAATAGGCTTCTCTTTCATTTTCGAAGCTTAACTGAACAAACTGAAGAGATTAGCTGATGGGCAATTGCTCCAGATTCTGTCTGTTCTAATTTTGATAAATACTCCCCAGTCTGTCTTTGACTACACTAAGGGGTCTATTTATAAACAACCGGTCCTATGAATCTTTGTTAGCATTCATTTTGTATGAATAATGGCAAAAATAAATGATCTTAATAGTCTCTTTTCAGGAAGAATGTATTGTGATGTAATACTGCGTTATGGCCAATAGATGGAGCTGCCTAGCATAGGAAACAAGTATTTTCACATTATTTGCACAAAACAGACATTCATAGATATTTGCAGTGTGAAAGGTCCTGCAAATTGTTTATAAATAGACCCATTAGGACTGCTGAACACTGCTGCCCCTTGCATTGTATTCGTATATAAAGGTCATAATGTTACCACAATCAATACACATCTAGAATGTACATGTTTATCGTTTTAGTGTATGCAATTTTTTCAGAGCACTCATTATACAGCATGGTTCTGAAGAAATACACACACACACACATATATATTTTTATATATTTTTTTATA